GGGTGGGGGTCGGTGTCTCAGGGGGACAGAGAGTGGACGGTGGGCGCCGGGGCCGGGGGAAGGATGGGGGTCAGTGTCTCACAGGGACAGTTTCCATTTGGGAGGTTGGAAAGTTCTGGAAACCATTGGTAAGGGCGGCTGCACATCATGAATGTGCTTAGTGGCCCTGAACTGTGCATTTGATATAGCTAAGATGGTAAATTTTATGTTATGTGTATTTTACCACAATAAAACAAAAGAAAGATATGCATGCGATACACACACACATCCCACCCCAGAGACACCAGGCACCAGGCGAATTACAAGGATTTTCATCACTGCTCTATTTGGAAACAAGCTCAGTGTCCTGTGAATTGACGAACACGAGGGGCGACTTCGGGTGGAGTACCCATGTTGAGGGGCCAAGCTCTGGACTTCTGGTTGAAGATGACAGAGCTCATGCTCACGGTGCAAGCCACAGAATGGAGAAAGGGGGAGAGGGGACCGCACAGCCAAAGGGCGGCTGCCCTGGCCCCTGCGGGGCAGGGGGCTGGAGGCTGGACCTCTGGCCTGCGTCTGCCCTGCTCCACAGCCCCCCACCCTGTGTGGCCAGCTCTGGCCAGGTGGCTCAAGGACTCTGAGGAGCCGGTGGTGTGGGGGGGTCAGGAGGAGGTTCCAGGACTCGGAGGAGGGGCGTGCCTGGGCGAGGATGTCAGGTCTGTTTTGAACTTCCAAAGAAGTTCTCCGGACTTGCCTGGGCCTGATATGCGGGTACAGGGACCAGGCGTGCCACTCTGGGAGGGTGGGTACCAGGAAAAGAAGGGAAGGGCATGCCCCCCAACATGTCAGCTCCAAGACGGTGGGGGCAGGAGGGGCCCAGGGTGACAAAGCTCCCAGGAGTGCTTCTGGGCCCAGCAGGGCCTTGCTCCCCCAGACCCTGCCCCTACAGCCTTGCCCACAGCTGGAGGCGCAGGCAGGCCCGACCAGTTGGGTCATCTGGCCAGAGTGGGCTCAGGGAGCTGTGGGCAGTGGGGTGGCAAGAGGAGGAAAGCCCATCTTCCCGGTCTCCTCTATGCCCCGCACAGATGGGGAGCTCACTGCAGACAGTGGTGGAGAAAGACACCCTCTGGTCTCAGACATCAGAGCGAGGACCCCCATCCCCCTCCCATGCCCTTACCGCTCCAGTCCCAGCCCTGCCCTGAGCACTGCGGCTGGCAGCCCAGGCCTAGGGGTGGGAGTCCATCGAGGGCCAGGGCTGGCAGCAAGGCCTGAGTGTGGCTGTCTGGGATGGGGCAGGGCCCAGGATCAAAGGCATGGGGGTGGCAGGAGGTGGGGGGCCAGTGGCACCTGAAGCTCCCTATTCCTCCCTGGAAAGCCTGGTGGTGTGGCTACGTGACCACCCCCCACAACCCGGTGGGAAGCCCTTGCCTTCCCCCCTCCCCCCCAGGTAGGTGAGGACACCAGCCCAGCCGTTAGACAACAGAGTTTATTTCAGACTCAGCCTCAGCTCAGGCCCAGGGTTCCAGGCAAGGGCGTGTCAGTGCCCATGGCCACCCTCCAGAGCCTGCCCACTGCCACTGTGCCATGGGCCAAGCTGGGATCCGATGTGCCGATGGGGGGCTGCACCCACAGGCTCCCTGCAAGCACAATGGGGCAGTGGACGTGGGTGATGGTTACCCACCAAGCAGCTCTACTCTGTGTTATTGCATTTATACGCTTGTTAGAATCAAAGGACGCTGGGTGAGGTGGGAGGGGCCGTCTCCAGGGGCGGGGCAAGCACAGCCACTGGGCAGATCCTCGAGGTCCCCCCCAACCCGGGCCTCCCTGCCAGGCTCTCAGATGCCCCAAGGACAGTTGCTGCAGGACGAGGAGGAGTCAGGGCAGGAAGTGAGATGGCCCCAGCCTCAGTGGCTCCCCGGGGGCAAAGTTAGAGGGTGAATGGTGGGAGCCCCGTCCCAGACCAGCCTTTGGGCTGTCTGTCCACCCAGCCAGGGTGCAGATGGTGGGCAAAGGTGGCACGGAAGCTCAGCTGCCACCGTGAAGGCTTGGTTCGGGTCAGCCCACTGCCCGGCCCTACCCAGATGGGCCCCCCAACCCTGCCCAGCTACAAACAAAGAGCAGAAATGGGGAGAGTGAAACAGCCATACCTTTTAATGTCCCCACAAGGGCTGGGCCCTTGTGGGAGCCCATCCCGGACCCCTACCCAGCCCTGGGGACTCGTCCAGACTCTGCTGCCAGGAAGTGCTTGGGACCACTGGGGCCTCTCGGGACCGGCTGGCACACGTCCACCTGCTTGTAGGCGGGTGGGCCACACTCAAGGTCCACTCCTCCCACTGCCCCATGCTGGAGCCTGGGAGGGGTAAGTGCTGGGCGCCAGTGTACGGGCTTGGTTTCCATGGCTGGGGGGCCTGTCCGTGTCTGTCCTTCTGCGTGTATGGGGGTATATGTGTATATGGTGCGCACGTACGGACTATGGATAGCTGTATGTGAGCTCAGCATGCACTAGGCTCCTGAGATCTGTACAGGAAGTGGCTATGCCCCCACCTGGGCACCAGCCATCATTTTTTCCGGGCCAGGAAGGCCACACCAAGAATTAGGGCTAAGGCTGCCATGGCCACACCCCCAGCCACCAGCAGGGGGGTCAAGTTCTCAAAGGGGCAAGGGCCTTGGCCCCCGGGACCCCCGCTGGGGGCGTCATCCTCCTCAGCCCCATCCCCAGGGCCCTTGGGCTCAGGGGCGGCCTCGGGGCTGCTGGGGGCTGCGGGGGCCGGCTTCAGGTTGCTGTGGTTATTGAGAAGGGTAGGGTCTGCTTTGGCCGCGGTCTTCTTGGCAGTTGGGGTGGGGGCCGCTGGGGACTCTTGCTTCTCTGCTTGGGCCTCCTTCTTCCCAGGCTTAGCTGAGGGGGCTTTCCCATCCACAGCTGGCGGGGCTCTGGCCTCAGCAGCCGCCTGCGGAGCCTTCGTGTCGGGCTTGGGGCTGCTGGTTGCCTTCCCCCTGGACTCCATGGTGGGCGGTGCTGGCAGGCTACCTGGGGTGTGCGTGGACAGACAGGCAGTTGGAACTCAGCGGCTCAGGACAGCTCACCCCTGGGCATTATCTAGGCCTGGAGAGAGACACAGTGAGGCTGTGGCAAGAGACTCAGCCCTCCTGTTCAGCCCCTACCATCTTGTCCCCATAGAGATCCTGCCCAATTCTCTGGACCGCCCCCCCAGACCCCACTCAGGATGTTCTTCTTCCAGGGCTTGCTCTCCAGCTGTCCCCCACCGCTCCCTGAGAAGCCCCTCCAACCACACAGGCAGAGCGTGTTGGCCCTGAACAAACTGGGGGTGCAGGATGAGACAAGCCATCTGCACAATGGTCCTGCCCATACATGTGCTATCTCCATTGGGCCGGGGTAGGGAGGCCCTGATGGGGAAGTGAGAGCCCACCCAGTCCCGAGGAGGATATATGGTCAGTGGGGAGTGTGCCCGGGCAGGAACCCAGAGTCTGGGCTCTCTGGTGTCAATGGGGTGGGAATGGGCCCAAGGCTGCCAGAACTGGGGTACAGCACACCTGAGGTGTTTCCCCGGGGGGCTGGAGAAGCCAGTCAGGCAGGCAGTGACAGGCCCTGTGCCTCCTGGCAAGCCATCTGCCCCTCCCCAGCTCCCGGTACCCACCCCCAAGACCAGCTTCCCCTGCTCCAGTTCAAGGGCAGGGAGTCCTTCCTGAGTCTGGGGCTGTGCCTGCCTCTGGGGCAAGGGCAGTGTGCGTGTGTGTGTATGGGGGGGTCCCTGGTGTGAGCCTGGGGTGGACACAAGCCATGTCCTCAACCTCAGCATCCTCAAACCTGGACCAGGGCAGAGGATGGGGTCTCCAGACTATAGGAAAAGCTTGGCCCAGATCCTCAATGTTTGAGTTGTTGGGTACTGGGGTTACTGGGCTGGGCCTGAGCCATCTCTCCCCAAAGGCCTAGATACCCCGTCTGCCTCTTCTCCGAGAGGATTAGAAACAGCCCCCCCCCGGGGGGGGGGAGTCCATGTGGGAAGCAGCGGCCCAGGTTTTCCACCTAGGCCAGGCACACGAGCCACACCTGAAGGTCACCTGTAGGTCATAGTATAATGGGGGTGTCCCAATGAGCAGCCTAGCTGCTGCCCCACTTCCCGGGGAGTCCCAGCAGCCCCTCAACCCCTGGTTTTCTGGATGGGTACCCAGCCCCTGGGCGTCAAGTTTGCAAAGGGCAGGTGGTCTCCTCCCCCGCAATACCCCGTTATTTTTGGTTCATACTGACGTCAGCCAGTGCCCCCTCCCCCTCCCAGGAGCCGCAGGGGTGGAGAGAGCCAGGTGCCCGGCCTGCGCCCCCAGTGACCTTCAAGGCGGGAGCTGCCCACTCGCCCCGCGGGGCCGCCCCGTCACCCCCCGGGCCCCAGGCCCCGGAGCCCCCGCTGTCTTACGCTGCTGCTCCCGGCGCTCCCCCCTCGGCGCTGTGCGCTGTCCGCGGGACCAGGGCGGGCGGCGGCGGCGGCGGCGGCGGCGGCGGCGGAGACTGGGAGTTTCCCACAATGCACTGTTCTCGGCGCCGCAAGCCGAGGAGGCGGGGCCACATCACCGCCGGCTCCGCCTCCTGTCGGCCGCCCCGGCGCCCCCGGCTGGCGGGGCGCTCTGGGGACCCCCAAGGGCGGCTTGCCGTCAGGGAAGAAAGGGGGCTGCCTTTCCCGCACCTCCAGTCCAGCCAGCGCGGGACCGGGAGGCCCGTAGCCCAGGCCCTCCTCCCAGGCCTTGTGCCGACCGGCGGGGGGGGTGGACCGAGGTAGGTCTGCAGGGGGAGGCGGGCCGGTTCCAAAAAGAGAGGCTCCCTTCCCCCTCCCCCAACCCTAACAGATTTCAGAGAGAAAGTATCTACTTAGAATATTTATTTATCTTCTCACAAGACAAGACACAAAAAGTTACAACTTCTTAAAACTCTTGAAAAGAAAAAATATAATTCTGTAAGCAGCAGCAGCTTCCAAGGTACAGAGGTGGTGGGAGAGGGCAGCTCCCGGGGACAGCCGTGACCTGGGGGGTCCCGGCCTGAGCCCCAGGTAGTGTCACCAGGAGGGGCCTCGGAGGAGGGAGCCCAGGTGGGGTACACAGCACCAGCACATCAGGATCAATCACCAACACAATCACGTGGCCTGGGGCAGGGCAGGGCGGGGAGGGGAGGGGCAGGGCAGGCAGGCCTGCCTCAATTCACAACATCAATGTAGGAGGGCGGTCCCAGGAGGGCAGAGCTTATGGAGTGTGGTCAGGGGCCTAATGCAGACGCCCGGAGAGTAGGGTGGGCCCTGGGAGGACTGAGGGAGCAGGTCCTGCCCCTGGAAGTAGAGCAAGTACCCCCAGGCTCCATACTGGTCCTCATGCCTGCCCTCCCCACTGGCCAATCCTGGACCCGGGGCGGGGGGGGGGGTGTCTCAGAAGAGGGGGTCTGCTGAGGTGCAGCAAGAACCAGACTGGGTAAATAAATTCCTGAATGGGGTCGGAAGGGAGCCTATAGGGCATACACGGTACAGACACACATACATTACCTGGCCATGTGGGTAAGGCCAGCAACCCCTCACCCCAACCGCCCCCAGCCCTGTCTCTGAAGGGCAGGCCAGTGGAGGGCTGGTGGACACAACCTGCTCCCCAGAACATTTGCACATGCACACAGACCTCACACGCTGCAGGCCCCAGCCTGGAGTGGGGTAGAGAGGCCTACCAGGAAGGATGCTGGGTCCCACAGTGGAGGGGGGGGGGCTTGCCCTGGGAGTCAGAACTCAGTGTGACCCCCTGCCTGGGACTCCTGGCTCAACATGGGGTGCAGGAGACCCCAATCCTCCTGCAAGGCTGGCTGGGGGGGCAAAGTGGAGTCCTGACCAAGGCGAGAAGGGCAGTGGCAGGGACAGGCTGGACGGATGGACACAGGGATGGACAGAGCACTTGTGCTCTGCAAGTTAATAAATAGGTTTGTGCGGGGTCCCCTTTGTAGACTAGGGACCAAGCCTCGGGGACAAGAGCTGGTAGACTGGAGGGTAGGGTCCCGCTTGCCCAGCCCTGGCCTGGGGGCCCCAGCCCAGAGACCAGCTCTGCCCTGGGGGTATTCAGGCCGGGGCGGAGCTGTGGGGGGGGGGGGCTGGCTCCAGGAATGTAAAGATTTTCTGCGTTTTCTACATAAATAAGACATTGAGCCCAGTGGTCGTCCAAGCAGGACCCCTAAGGGGCCTCTGTGTGCACCACCCATGTGGACCCTTCATCCCTTCCTCTGCTTCCCCCCACCTGTGTGGGAAGGGTGGGGAGAGACTTTCTCTTGCTCAGTCCTGGGCGGGCCACCTGGCTCCGGCCCCACTCTGGTCCCACTCGGTTGGAGGGCGCAGGTGGCCGCCGGGCTCAGTGCTGGGGTCGCTGTAGCAGCTCCAGCAGGGTCTCAGCGATGCCCAGGAAGTAGACCACTTGAGCGATGCCGAACAGCGGGGCAATGACCAGGGCACGGCAGTAGGCGCCCTTCAGGAAGGCCGCGGGGCCCTCGTGCCTCAGGATCTTCCTGTGGGGAGAGGGTGGTCAGGGCCGCTGCTGGCCTGCCCCCCCATCCCCATGGGCCTTTCCACCTGGCACAGTCCAGGAACCCCGTGTAGGGTGGTCAGGGCCGCTGGTGGCCCACCCCCCACCCCACCCCCGTGGGGCCATCCCACCTGGCACAGTCCAGGAACCCCGTGTAGGTGTCCTCGTTGACACCACGCTGCAGCGACTGAAGTCTTGTCTTCACCACTGCAGGGGGTGTGCAGGTCAGCATGGGGCCCAGCCCACCTACACCCGCACCGCCCCCCCACCCCCCGCCTCAGTCCCAGGCACTGACCATCACAGGGGTTGACGGCCACGGCGGCTGCACTCCCAGCCACACAGCCAGCCAGAAATGACACATAGAAAGGAGACTTCTCCCCGGAGGAGGGACAGCCCAGCTGGTTCAGGTTGGCAAAGAGGGGGAAGTACACAATGGAGAAGGGGACGTCCCTGTGGGGGGAGGGAGGGACGCTGGTGACCTAGAGGTGTGCGGTGCGCAGGCCTCCCTCCCCCCACCCTCACCCTCACCGTCACTCCCACCTGAGCAATGTGGCCCCCAGTCCCTTGTAGAGGCCGGCGATGCCCCGGCTCCGAAGCAGGTCCCGGGTCAGCTGGGTAGCTGTGGGCCGGGGAGCAGCCGGAGCCTCCATGGAGGGCTGAGCGCCGCCCTGGGCTGACAGCTGGGCCTGGGCATCCAGTAACTTCTTCTGGGCAGCTGGGGAGAGAAGGAATAGGCCTGTTGGCTCTCTCTCTCCTAGTACCTCCCACCTGGGCAGGGGCTGGGGCTCGCCCTCTGTCTCCCCATGCCCTCACCAATGCGGCCTGCGTCCTGAAGCTGGATCTTCAGCATCTCCATGGGGGTGGTCACAATCACCTGGCAGGTGCCGGCCCCACAGCCGGCCTGCATCTCCTGAAGCAGGGTCAGCTTCTGCCTGGAGAGAGGGGGTAAGGGCCGTGGTGCGATGCAGAAGCCTCTGCGGCCCTGGGCGTGTGGGGGCGGCGGCGGGGGGGGAGTGGCAGAGGCAGATGCGGCTCTGGAGGGGTACAGCACCTGCCAGCCTCAGATACCCCTTCAGGCCCTCCAGCAATGAGCACCGAGCCCAACAGCCAGACGGCCCCGCGAGCAGGGCCGGGGAAGGTGGAAGGGCCATTCTCAAGCAAACAGCAGTGGAGATGCTGAGGTCTCAAGTAACCAAAGGGCCAAGCTTCTCAGCCCCACCCTCAGGTGACAGGGGGAAGCTGGTCAGTGCCCCCCCAGATCCCACCCTACAGGAGTGGTGCACACTGGCTGGGGGCCAGGACCGCCGGGGCCAAAGCACAACTGACTGGCATCTGCGTCCCTCCCCGTGCAGGAGGCAGGGAGGAGGTGAGGGGCAGGGCTTCTGTCCTTTGTCGGGAGGCACAGACCCCTCCCCCTCACAGCCTTGGCCCGCAGCCCCTCACCCCCTCACCCGTCCTTGGAGAGCTGATATCGGAAGAAGTCGTTAGCGGCCAGCTTGATGGCCTTCTCCGGGGTGACAAGGGTCAGGTTCACAGCAGCTCCTGTGGGGCACAGTGGGGAGCACAGGCAAGTCGGCGGCCTGGGCTGGGGAAGCTCTCAGCCACCACTGGCCTCCCGGCTCGCCGAGCCCCACCCCGGCCACTCCTTGGCTCCTCCTCCTGCCCTCTCACCCACATTGGTGCCAGGCGGGGCAGACCCAGGCAGGGACAGGGCAGGGCCTCCTCCAGGCGCCCCGCTCACCCTCCCTGCATGATCTACCCATTCCGGCCTCCCTGAGGAACACCTCCCCTGGAAGACAGAAGGTGCTTCCGCTGGGGGGCGGGCACTGGGTGGAGGACACAGGCCCAGGGTGAGCGAGAGTGGGGGGGTCCCGCCGCACAGTGTCTGGGCAAAGCCAGGCTTGGGGATTGTCCCCTAAGCGGCTTTGCGGTAGTGCCCCACGCCCTCCCGCCTCCCAGCACAGATGGAGTCCCACCTGCCCTGGAAAGCAGGGGAGAAGGCTGCAACCTGCACGGTAAGGACACAGCGCCCTGCCATGCGGGCGGTGGCAGCGAGCGGGGGATGGGGCTGATGCCCTGGGAGGGCCGCTGAGAACGGCCCCTCCCCGGAGAGCCCACCCTGTGCCGCTCACCCAACACCCGGGTCCCACGGGCCACATCCACACATACACACCAGGCCCCAGCAGGCCGCCCTGCCTGGCCTTGCCACCTGCCTCCCAGCCGTGACAGCAGGACCCCTCTGAGACTGCAGAAGGGTGCCACCCACATGGGCCCCATCCCCAGCCTCACCGCGGTACATGCCGAAGTAGCCCTCTGAGCGGATGGTCTTGATGAGGCAGTCAGACCTGCAGCCAAGGCGGGGGGGCGGGAAGGGTGAGCCAGGGGGCCAGCAATGGCTCCAGCCCTAACCCAGACGGGAACTTCCCCAGACCAGCCCTGACCTGTTTCCCCTCTTGTCAATCAGGCTGGGGGATGCAGGAGCAGGGCCTGAGTCTGAGCCTTAGCCTGGCCCCCCCTCACGTGGCTCCATGCCCACGGCCCCCACCGGGCATGCTCACATGCTGGTGTACATGCGCTGGCCATTCTGCTGGTTCTGCAGCCTCGTCTTGGCCAGGTCGATGGGGAACACGCAGGTGACCCCGATCAGCCCAGCGATGCCGCCATTGATGAGCTTGGCTGGCAGACTGTGGGAGCAGAGGGAGTGTCAGGAGTGGCCTCCTAGGCCACAGGTCAGGACCACACACGGGGTGGGGTGGGGCCAAGAGCAAAGGCAGGGTTGCATTCTGACCTGATCTGCTTATCAGCCATTTAACTGAGCGCACCCAGGTGGGAGCCGGAGAGGTGGATGCCAGCCCAGAAGGTGGAGGACGGAGGCAGCGCAGCGTGGGTGGGACAGAGGGGGAAGGGGCGGTCCTCCACTTTCCGGGGAATTTCAAAACCACGGCTTCTGTTCTAGAAAAGGGTACAGGAATCAGGGGAGGGAGGAACAGACCACTCAGAGGCACACCAGAGAAATAATCTTACCCCCAAAACCCCCTCCCCAGGTCTCACGCAAGAGCACCAAGCCCCTCACCCATCCCTAGGGCCACCCAGTCTCCCCTCAAGGCGCCCCCGCACCGGTGCGTTCTCCCCCGCTGGCCTCGCTCACGCTCACACACACTCACGTGCACACTGAACGCGCCGAGGAGCGCACTCTGCCTTTAAAGGGCCAGGCGCCTCTGGGGCAGTGAGTCTGCCAGCCAGGCATCTCAACCCTGGACTGCGGTGACCCCTTCATCCTCGGGCAGCGACAGCTGGCGCCTGCCCCCTCAGGATGGAGGCTGGAGGGGCTGAGGAGCACCCCCCAACCTGGGCTCAGCTCACAGCTACCCAGGTAGATGCTGCCGCGCCAGGTGCAGCCCCCCCATGGACCCCAGACAGCCCCTCCCCCTGGAGAAGTTCCAGGCTCACCCACACCCAGCCCTGCACCCACCCTCCCATCCACCCTTTCCAGGAATCTCACTCCCAGACAGACAGACAGACAGACACACACACACACACACACACACAGAGACCAGGTCCTCTGGAAGCTTCGGGGGAGTTCGGGGCATGGGGTGGGGGGCAGCTGAGAAGGGGACAGCTGACTGAGGCTCCCTGGGATGGTTCACGCATCCACTCTGGGGGTTGGGGGAGACAGGGCCCCTCTCACTAGAGACAGGGCAGAGCCGGCCTCCAGAGCCTCCTGTCGGGGGCCCCCCAGAGCCCTGGAGCCTTCTCCCGCCTCTTGCCTGGGCCCCCTCGAGGCCAGCTGTCGTGGGCTCTCACCCACAGCACTGTCACCCAGGGTCACAAGGCTGGCTCACACCCCTGGTCCCTCTGAGGACCGGTGACCTTCACCTCAGCTTTCCCGGGCCATCTGTCCCTGTGTCCCCTGCCCCTCCAGCCCCACCACCTCCGCAGCCCCCAGTCCCGCTCACCCTGAGGTGCACCTCCAGGACTACAGCCCACCGGGCTCACGGAGGAGATCCAGGGGCCAAGGGAGGTGCCCGCTGCCGGGATTGGCCGCTGGGCGGGGCGGGGCCGGCCTGGGGGGGGGGCGACTTTCTCTTTCACTTTGGGCAAGTTGGCTCTCAGCTGCTGTGGGATGGGAGGGGGCGTGACAGCTTCTGAGAGGCAGGGCCCAGCTTCGGACATGATCAGCACACAGGGCAGTGGGCCTGACTCAGGCTGACCCAGCCAAGCCTGACCAGCCATCCACAGGAACCCCAGCCCGTGGCCACCACGACCCCGACTGTCCCGTGGGTTCCTGTCTGCAGCCTGCAGGCTGGATCTGTCTAGGGCTCTGGGACCCAGTGGATGGGGCGCTCTCTGTGCCCAGGCCCCCTGTGGGCCTCTGTGTGGACAATCTGGTCCCGTGGGAGTGGAGATGGGTCTGTGCCCACTCCTATTCGTGAGACCTGTGTGTCTATTGGATGAAGACGCATTTCATGGGAACCTCACCCTAGGCCAGGACTGGGGCGCCTGGGGGGCTCAGGTGGTTAAGCGTCTGCCTTCGACTCAGGTCATGATCCCAGAGTCCTGGGATCGAGGGCATCCAGCTCCCTGCTCAGCGGGGAGTCTGCTTCTTCCTCTGCCCCTCCCCCTGCTCGTGCGCGCGCGTGCACTCTCTCTCAAATAAATAAATAAAATCTTTAAAAAAGGGAGGGGCAGGGAAGTGTTGGCTAGGTCTCAAGAGGCCTCTGGCTGCCACCCACAGGACTGCTCACCTGGCAGGTCCAGAGGGCACAGGAAACGGGCACTCCCAGAGCCCTCTGCCCGGCCAAGGGGTCCCCGACACACATGCCCTGGGCCTCTGTCCCCAGCATCTGCTTCCCCATGCCCTAGCCTGCAGATAAAAGTCTGACCTCTGAACTTCAACCTGAGTTTTCCCTCCCCACCCCCACCCCACCCACCTCCAGGTGTAGACCAGCTACAGCCAGCTCTCTGCTGCCCCAGGCTGTCAGGGGCAGGGTCTATATTCTCACTGCAGTCTCTCTGCCGCCTACTCCTGCCCTCTGGGGGACTGAGTAAACCCTGCCTCCTTGAGCATCACCAGACCCCACCTCCCGTCCAGGGTTAAGGGACACTGGGTGATGGGGGTCCCGGTGTCTAAGGTGAGGAGGGGAGCAGTTGTGCCAGGAAGAGAGGCAGGCTCAGGGATGCCACGCCTGAGGGAGACAGTGAGTCTGGGGTCTCACAGTACGTGCTTCAGGCTGCAGGATGGAGCAGGGAAGAGGGTCGCTGGCCTGACAGCAGTGAGAATGAAGGGACTCTGCCTGGGGAGACTGGCAAGGGGTCCACGGGACCCAGAACCCCCCCTCTGTCGGTCCTGACTCTGTGGTTCTCACCCCTGCTTAGGAGACATCTGTGGAACAACTTCCCCAGGCACCTCGTGTTGCCACAGAAACCCAGCAACCCTGGCCAGGCCTGAGGCCGGGGCCTGTCAGCCCTCACCGTCCCCCTGTCTCCACGTCTGCAGCCAGGTAAACTAAGGAGGAAGGCAGGCAGTGGATAGCGCTGCCCACAGACATCAGCCACAGAATAATGCTGCTACTTCCAGACCCTCCCAGGGGTAAAATCTCCCACAAATTAAGCCGCTGAGCTTCCCCTCCCCCACCCCCGACGGAAGCCGATGGGGGTGAAGATCAGAGTGTGGCACTGGCCTCTGGCTGCCCATTCAATCTCCCCGCGTCCCTTCCCCATGGGGCGGGGGGCGCTTTCTACCCTGTCGGAGGGGCCCCAGCCCACGAACAAAGGAGGCCTGGGGTGGGGGCTGCGGGCTCCAGCTCGGAGGCCGGCTCAGGACCCTTGTCCCTCTGGAGGGGATCCAGACGGGACCCAGACGGTCACGCCGCCCCCGCGAGGCGATGGCGACTCCAGCCACGCACGTGTCCACACAAGTCCGGCGGGGTCCCACGTGTGCGCCCCCCGCAGCCCGGCCTCCGCTTCTGGGGCTCTGGCCCCAGCTTCCCACCCCGTGGGGACACGTGTGCGCGGGGAGCGCGCCCGGCACCGCCCGGGGTCGAGCACGGCCTCCCACACCCAGACGGCAGCCGGTCGGAGCATCCGCCGACCCGCGCAACCCCCCCCC